CATTTTATTTGATACCTGCTATGAGCTTTCTCCTTTGATAATAAGGATGAACATAATCACCATTACTATTACTAAAATGAAAATACAATAATCACAGCCTCCCCGATGTATTGGGGATATACTATGTACCAGCAACGCTAAACACATTACTAGGGTAAAAAGACACATTTGTGAATGAAGGCGTGTTCCAGCCTCATCCACACAACTGGTTGTATCCATCCATCCTGGTACAACTGTTCTCTCCATCCATACAGATAATTTAATCGTATTCTAGCTCTCACAGCTTCCCTCTCATTCGCAAAGGGTTATGATAGTATGATTTTTTTTCTAGCTTGGAAAGTTAGAATATAGTTGCTATTCTTGGCGGTAGCATTGCCGTTAGGGGCCCTGTTGCTAATGGGGCTGTGTAAACAGTTATGATTTGTGGCATCTTTGCTAAGGGTGGTCGGCGTTTGTTCCACGACGTCAGCGTCGTTTCGGCTGGCCCGTGGAAACTGAGAGTTTGCCTCAAGTTGTTGTGAGAATGAGGTGGGAACCGGCTGCCCATTGGGGAAGACTTGACCACAGGGCTTTGTATCACTGTCTTCTGTCCCCCGCCAGCATCTGCATGTCCCAGTTGGGCTTTCTTGATACTATGAAGGAGGAAACATCTCATCCCAGAAGGTAAAAGAGGAAAGGAAATTTGGCCTCCCTTGATGTGTTAAGCATTCAGAAATGAATCCCCAAGGAAATGCTAGGTTTGTAGCAGAACTACAGATCCATGCACAGCACTTTCTCAGCCTTGGCACTATTGACATTTTGTTCTAGATAGTTTTTTATGGTGGTGGGGGGCCACTGCCTTGTGTGTTGCGAGATGTTTAGCAGCATCCCTGGCCTCTACCCACGAGATGCCATTAGCATCCCTCTGATCGTGACACAAAAATGTCTCCAGACATTGTCAAACATCCCCTGGGGTGCAAAATCGCCCCTAGTTGATGCAGACAGACTTGAGATTGTAGGAGACCCCCGTTGCAGCATGGACACTCACCATTGACATACAGGCTGTCTCTGTCCAGGGTGTAGAGGCCCAGCTGGGTGACACCGTGGGTCAGTTGGTTCAGTTCCTGGTACAACTGTTCTCTGTCCAGCCCAGGGCCCACGGGGTCAGGACGGTAGATGCAGATGGCATCCACTCTGATGGCTGCCCCGTCCTTCTCAGTCCTGGAGAGATTGGGATGTAGGAATGGGGACATCCAGAGATGGATGCAGAAGAGTTAAATACTTTGTTCAACTGTCTCTTTTAAAATCGAACCCGCCCACTCCCCGTGTTGTATGACATCTTTCTTTACTGGATCTTGTCTGGTTTCTCAGACACATTTCTTTCTGAGACCTCTTTGTCCAGCTCCCACCCTACTCTTTAAAGTGGAGGTTCATCTCCAGGGTCTCAACCTCAACTGACTTCTCTTCTTTTGCTGCCCATTCTTCTTGAGTCATTTGGTTTACATTCATCCTTTCAACTACCAACTCCGTTATTGTGAGCTCCAATCTCACTCTTGTCTAGATGGGACTGCTCTCCTGAGCTCTGTCCCATGTAACCAGCTGCCTCAGGGACAGCTTGGACTGCATAGATGCCAAATTAATCTTATCATCTTCCCCCCCTCCTTGAAACTCTGCTCCTCTTCCTTCCTTCCTTCCTTCCTTCCTTCCTTCCTTCCTTCTTTCCTCCTTCTTTCCTCCTTCTTTCCCATTTTTCTTTTCTTTTTTATTCATTCATTCATTCAATTGCTATTTGCTCCACCCTCTACTCTCCAATTTCACAGAACCTTTCTCATGTATCATGCTATTTCTCTCAACCATCCCATTCCTTAAGATGGGCTACCCGCTGAATACACCTTTGCCAGTGTTTCTTCTGGCCAATATACACTCAGCTGTCAACACCTGACTCAGGTATCACCGTCTCCAGACAGCTTCCACCCAACTCCCCCAGATTGAGTTAAAAGTCCTTTCTCTGGGCTGTCCTGTGGCACCTGTATAGAGCTTTGCCATTGAACTAACCCTGTTCCAATTACGGCTTACGTCTATGTGGTCACTGCCTTCTTTATATTATGAGCACCTTGAGGGAAGGGCCCATGGATGACCCTCTCAGTGTCCTTAGCACCTGTCACAAGGGATGGCCAGAGATGCCTCATTCCACGATTGCTCAATGAGTCAATGCTGCCTTTTCTAACTGGTGAGCCTAAATGTTCCATGCTTCTGAGTATCTGGATAATATAAGATTTTTGATGGCTTCCTCTTTCAGGAAGCCCTCTCTGATACACTCAGCCAGAGGGGTGACTTCTGAGTCTGAAATCCTGGAAGGCCTTGGTCATTTACAATCCTTGCTTTCTAGGTGTCACGCTTAGGTCCTCACCTCCTGGAGAGCTTGTCTGTGATAGTGCAGCCCTCACGATGTGAGGGAAGGAGGTCTCACCTGAGCATGGTCAGTCTGCAGCCGGAGTAGCCGGAGCTGATGCTGCTGTTCTGGAACAAGGGCTTGAGCTGGGAAGGAATGAAAGGGGTGAGTGGAAGGCCCTACTGAGACGGCAGGGTGTGGCAGTGTTGAGGTGACATGGGCATGGGTCGGGGGCTCTCACCAGGTGCTGCAGGGTCCTCTCAGTGGTGTTGAATATCTCAGAGCCCGGATGCCCCATGTCCTCCATGTAGTGCAGGTTGGTGATGGTGAAGTTGAGGGTAAAAGGCATCAACAGAGGAACTTTGGCTGCAGCAGGGGAAGGTAAGAAGAGACCAGTCCTAAGTCAGGTCCTGGGTTGGGGGTGGATGGGAGGAAGGGCTCTGAGGACACACTTTAACTCCAGTGCCAAGCTGGGGTCCAGCCTGGGCTGCCCTACTTGAAAGTCCTTGTGTAGGAATCGCTGTCCAACACCTTCCTGCATAGGGTGATCAACTATCCTAGTTTGCTCGGGACCTTCCTGGGATGCAAACTTTTCAGTTTTAAGAGTGGGATAGTCCTGGGCACACTAGGGTAAGTGTCTGGGCACTCCCCTATCCCCTTGGTTGTTACCATTCCAGCACTCACCAGCACCTGCATCTCTTTGAGGGGAATGAACAGGCCCGGAGAGCATCCCTCCAGCCATGGCTGATGGAAGGTGGTGGATAAACACCCCAGCCCCCTCACCCCTCTGGTGGATGTCTCTGAGGTGCACGCTGTCTGCATTTTCCCAGGGTTCTCCTCTAGTCCCCCAAACTGTGGGACCATAAATTTCTGCTGCTTAAGCCACCCAGTTTGTGGTGTTTTGTTGTGGCAGCCCCAGCAAACCAATTGCATCATACGACCCGGCAATTCTCTTCCTAAGTATGTACCCAAAAGAATTGAAAAGAGGTTCTCAAACAGTTATTTGTACACCAATGTTCGTTGCAACATTATTCACAATAGTCAAGAGGTGGAAATCGCCCAAATGTCCACCTGTGGATGAATGAATAGATAAAATGGGGTATATCTGTACAATCAAATATTATTCATCCACAAAAAGGAAGGAAGTTCTGATAGATTCTACAACATGGATGAACCTTGAAAATATTATGTGAATTGAAATTAGCCAGACACAAAGGGACAAATATGGTATGAGTCTGCTCATATAAAATAGCTGCAACAGGCAAATCCATAGACGCAGTGAATAGATTGAAGGTTACCAAGGTCTAGGGAAATGGGATATTATTGCTCAATGGCTACAGAATTTCTGTTTTGGGTGGTAAAAGAGAGTTTTGGAGAAAGATAGTGATGGTGGTCACACAAAAGTGTGAATGTCATTAATGCCGCCAAATTGTACACCTAAAATGATTAAAATGGCAAATTTTATATTATATCTATTTTACCACAATTAAAAAATTATTCAGTTGGGCGTGGTGGCTCATGCCTATAATCCCAGCGCTCTGGGAGGCTGAGGCGGGAGGGTCGCTTGAGCTTAGGAGTTCAAGACCAGCCTAAAAAGAGTGATACCCCTGTTTCTATTAAAAATAGAAAATTTAGCCGGGTGTGGTGTTGGGCACCTGTAGTCCCAGCTACTCGGGAGGCTGAAGCAGGGGAATCGCTTGAGCCCAGAAGTCTGAGATTGCAGTAAGCTATGATGACACCACTGCATTCTACCCAGGGTGACAGAGCACGACCCTGTCTCTAAATAAATAAATAAATAAATAAGCTATTCTTACTTGTTCCTGAAGTCATGCTCTCAGAGGCCAAGGTGGACATCCCAGGTGTGGTCAGAGGCGCAAAGGGACTTCCAGCCAGTGTATTGAAGGCAATTGTGGCATCAGCCATGGTGGGGTTTGAACTTGTGGCTGCTAAATGAGTGGTTTCTACCATTGTAGTTTTCAGGATACTGGTTGGACTAACTCCTTCTCCATGACTGGTTTTAGGTGGCGTTGGGATTTCTGATGGTGTCGAGGTCATAGTGGTACCTGTAACAGTCCTGGAAAATTCTGGGAGTCCAATAGAAGTTATGGGTGGTGAGGTTTCTGCGCTCCAAAAAGTTACAGTATTAGGCCTACCAGCTGTCGTGGGGGCACCAGGAAGCCCAGGGACACCAGGGGAAATCGTCAGAGCTGGAATATCTGTGCTGGCTTCTGCCAAAGAGCTGGTAGCCAATAAATTTGTGGTCTCTGATAAACCAGGGGATAAAGTTGAAGTTGGAATAGTCATGCTGGTGTCTGTCCCATCATCAGTAGAGAGTGAGGCTGTGGTCTCCAATACATGAGGAAAAACAGTCGAAGCAGGAAATTTTGTGCTTGTCTCTGCACTGAAGTGGGTTACCAATAAGGTTGTGGTTTTCAGTTCACCAGGAGAAAGAGTCAGAGTCGGAATAGTCGTGCTGGTCACTGCCCTAGAACTAGTGACCTGTGAGGTTACCACATCTGGTACACGAGGTGAGATAGTCATTGTTAATACAGCTGAACTGGCTTCTGTCCCAGGACTGGTGGCTGTTAAATGTGTGGTATCTGGTTTACTATGGGAAAAATTGGGGGTTGTTCTGGAAACAGGTGTGCTGGTCTGTGCAGGATGGGTGGCCCGTGAGGTTGTTGTATCTGGCTCACTAGAAGAAACAGTTGGAGTTGGAACAGCAGAACTGGTCTGTGTCCCAGGATGGGTAGCCAATGAGGCCGTGGTCTCTGTTTTACCAGGAGAAAGAGTGTAAGTTGGAAGAGCCATATTGGTGTCTATCCCAGAACTAGTGACCTGTGAGGTCACCATATCTGGTACACCAGGTGAGAGAGTCACAGTTGAAACAGTCGAACTGGTGGCCATTGAGGGTATGGTGTCAGATTCACTACAGGAAAAATTAGTGGTTGTCCTAGGAGCTGTTGTGCTGGTCTCTGCAAGATGAGTGAACCGTGAAGCGGTTGTCTCTGGTTCATGCGGGGACTCAGTCCGTGTTGGAAAAGTCATCCTAGTATCAATCCCAGAGGTAGTGACCTGTGAAGTCACCAGATCTGATACACCAGGTGAGATAGTTGTAGTTGAAACAGTCGAACTGGTGGCGATTGAGGGTGTGGTGTCTGATTCACTCTGGGAAAAACTGAGGGCTGTCCTGGAAACCGTGGTGCTGGTCTCTGCAGGGTAAGTGACCCATGAGGCTGTTGTCTCTGGTTTATGTGGGGACTCAGGCAGCGTTGGGAATGTACTTGTGTCTGTCCTAGAACTAGAGACCAGTGAGGTCAGCATATCTGGTATAATAGGTGAGATCGTCGTGGTTGGAATGGCTGAACTGGCTTCTTCCCTGGGACTGGTAGCCATTGAAGATGTGGTGTCTGGTTCAGTATGGGAAAAATTTGAGGTTGTTCTGGCAACAGATGCGCTGATCTCTGAAGAATAGGTGACCCCCCAGGCTTTTGCATCTGACTCACTAGAAGAAAGGGTCAGAATTGGAACAGCTGAACTGGCTTCTATCCAAGACTGAGTGACCCAGGAAGCTGTTGCCTCTGGTTCATGTGGGTGATCAGGCAGAGCTGAAAAAGTTGAACTGGTCTCTGTCTCAGAACCAGTGGCCAGTGAGGTCCTCATCTCTGATACACCAGGGGAGACAGCCAGAGTTGGAATGGCTGAACTTGTGTGTGTCCCAGGATGGGTGACAAATGAGGCTGTGGCATCTGGTTCACCAGGAGAAAGAGTCAGAGTTGGAATAATACTGGTCACTGCCCCAGAGCTAGTGACCTGTGAGGTCACCATGTCTGGTACATCAGGTGAGATAGTTATTGTTGGAACAGCTGAACCAGTCTCTGCCCCAGGACTGGTGGCCACTGAGGCTGTGGTGTCTGATTCACTGTGGGACATTGTCCTGGGGACCATTTGACTGGTCTTTTCTGGATGAGTAACCCATGAGATCATTGTCTCTGATTCATGTGGGGACACAATCAGTGTTGGAGAAGTTGTACTGGTATCTTCCCCAGAACTAGTGACCAGTGAGGTTGGCACATCCGATGTACCAGCTGAAATGGCTGTTGAAATAGCTGAACTAAATTCTGCCCCTGGACTGGTGGCTGTTGAAAGTGTGGTGTATGATTTCCTATGGGAAAAACTTTGGGTTGTCCTGGCAATGGTTGGGCTATTCTCTGTAGGATGGGTAGCCAATGAAACTGTTGTATCTGGCTCACCAGGGGAGGCAGTCAAAGAAGTCACAACAGAACTGGCTTCCATCCCAGGATGAGTGACCCATGAGGCTGTGGTCTCCAGTTGGCCTGGGCCAGCAGTCAGAGTTGGAAATGTACTGGTCTCTGTCCCAGAACTAGTGACCAGTGAAGTCACCAGCCCTGGTACACTAGGGGAGACAGTCAGAACTGGAATGGTTGAATTTGTTTGTGCATCAGGGTGGGTGATCAGTGAGGCTGTGGTCTCTGGTTCACCAGGAGAAAGACTCAGCATTGGAATACTTGTACTAGTTACTTCCCTAGAACTAGTGACCAGAGAGGTCACTGCCCCTGGTACCCTAGGTGAAACAGTTGGAGCTAGAACAGCTGAAGCGGCTTCTGCTCCAGGACTGGTGGATGTTGAAGGTATGGTGTCTGATTTGCTATGGAAAAAATTGGGAGTTGTCCTGGGAACTGTGTTAGTCTCTGCAGGATGAGGAACCAATGAGGCTGTTGTATCTGGCTCACTAAAGGAAAAAGTCAGAGTTGGATCGGTTGAACTGACTTCTGCCCCAGCATGGGTGATCCGTGAAGCTGTGGTATCCAGTTGGCCTGAAGAGACTGTCATAGTTGGAACAGTGGTACTTGTTCCTGCTCCAGAATTAGTGACCAGTGAGGTCACCAGCCCTGACACACCAGGCAAGGTAGTCAGAGTTGGAATGGCTGAACTGGTGTGTGTCCCAAGATGGGTAACCAATGAGGCTGTGGTCTCTGGTTCACCAGGGGAAAGAGTCAGAGCTGGAAGAGCCATATCAGCATCTGTCCCAGAACTAGTGACCTGTGAGGTTACCAGATCTGCTACACCAGGTGAGATAGTCATAGTTGAAACAGTTGAACTGGCTTCTGCCCCAGGACTGGTGGCCATTGAAGGTGTGGTGTCTGACTCCTTATGGGAAATATTTGGGATTGTCCTGGGAACAGTTGGGCTTTTCTCTGCGGGATGGGCAGCCCCTGAGGCTGTGGTCTCTGGTTCATCTGGAGATTCTGTCAGAATTGGAATAACCATACTTGTCTTTGCCATAGAACTAGTAGTCAGTGAGGTCACCGTATCTGGTATATTGGGGGAGGCAGTTGGCTTTGGAACAGCTGAACTGACTTCTGCCCCAGGACTGGTGGCTGTTGAGGGAGTGGGATATGATTCACTATGGGAAACATTTAGTGTTGCCTTGGAAATAATTGAGGTGGTCTCTGCAGGGTGAGTCTTCCACGAGGCTGTTGTATCCAGCTCACCAAAGGAAACAGTCGGAACAGATGGACTGGTGTCTGCCCCAGAACTGGGCACAGGTGAAGCTGTGGGCTCTGGTTCTCTATTGAAAACAGATGGGATTATACTGGAAACAGCGGTGGTGGTCTCTGCTCCAAGGCTTGTGGCCAATGAGGACGTCATCTCTGAAACATCAGAGGAAACATCTGGGGTTGTGATCATCATTCCTGCTGTGCTTGTGGCGGCTGCTTGCGCTGATGTCTTGAGGGGAGCCAGTGACCCTGAACTGGCAGTATAGACTCTGGTGGTCAGTGTGGCTGTGGAGGTGGTCTTCAGAGCTGTGGCAGTGGTCTCTGCTCTTTGTGTCCCTCCTGTGTGTGAATTGGGGGAAAATGACAGAAACTCAGAGGTTGTGATTTGCCAAGGTCACTCAGTCTTGGCATGACCCATGGTGTGGAAATTTGAGCACAGTTCTCTCTGAATCCTAAAAGATACCCTTAACCACTGCCTAATATTCCTTCCCTGACTACATTTCAGGATCTTGTTGTGGAGGGGGTGCATGATGGAAAGAGAAAGAAGTGAGGAGAAAATGTCTATCTGGAGGAAAGAACTTTAACAAGCATAGTCTGGTTCAGTGGTTCTCAAACCAGGGGCAGTTTTGTTCCCAGGGAACACTTAGCAATGTCTGGAGACATTTTTGGTTGTCACCAGTGTGTGTCTGTGGGTGGGGGAGTGCTACTGGCGTTTAGAGTAGAGGCCAGGGATGCTGCTAAACATCCTACAATGCACGGGACAGCCCCCTGTGACAAAGAATTATCTGCTCCAAATATCAGTAGTGCGGAGGTTGAGAAACCCAGATCTATACGAAAAAAGAGCCGGTGGATACTGTTGGCTAGCTCTCATAAACTTTGCCATCTGAATATTGGTTATCACCTGAAACCCGGTGATCCCTTTTCCAGAGACCTAGCTGTGGCCAACGCTCTCAATGCCCCACTCACATTCCGTTAACGCTCACTGTTGCTGTATAGTGACTTCGGTGGGTTCCTACTACAGCTCCTGTGACTCCACACCTAAGAGCTTTCACTCAGCCTGCATTGGGGACAGGATGGAAGTGCTGGGTGTTGGCATCTCCAGGAACAAACAGCTTATGGTCAGTGATAGAAGGGAATTATATGATGAATACCACAGCCACCTCGTCCCTTGAATAGGACAATGCTGAGGTGTTCTACGCTACCTCCCAGAAGTTCCTGGTGGGAATGACACTCTCTTACTCACAGCTGTGACCTGCTCATGAATGTATTTTGCATTAACTTACTTTCCTTTTCTTTTCTGTCTCCTCTACCAGTGCTTCCTGGGATCATCCCCTCATCCCCACATCCTTGAATCAAGGTCTGCTTCTGGGGAGACCCAACCTAAGATACTTGCGTCACAGGCTAAGACTAATAACCTGACTGGAGGTGACTCCACCAAAGCCTGGATCTTGGAAAATCCTCCAAAACGAGCTGGTAAAATAGTCTAGACTCTACTTGGGAGTAACTTAATGGATATGGGAAGCCGTACACTTTTAGCCGTCCAGTGAGCAGGACCCCTCGTTGTATATACCTATGCCTCTTAAACTGTCAGGCAGAACGATAATACTACGAAATGTTAGTAGGTACCTTTCTGAGCAAAAGATTACACAGTCAAATAATTGTATTAAACCCCAAGTTGAACAAAGCTGAACAAGTTTCTTTATGGTAAGATTTCTCAAAGCCTTTAATAGGCTTATGCATGATACTACTCTTTAAGAAGAAGCAACACGTTTGTGAATTATTTTTACCTCCCAGATCTTCCTGGGTTTCACCTTTCTGTACCTTTGCATGCTGCTCTCGATTCTATCCAGAATGTCTTCATCAACTCCTTCTATCTTCCTGGTAAACTCCTATTCATCCTTTTGAATTGAAACCCAATTCAAATATCACTTCCTCCATGAAGCCTTCCTTCTATAATTCCATTATATCTTTATCAAATACTTTTAGAGTTGCATAATAATTATTTCGTTCCTTTGATGTTTCTCCTACTGAACTGAGTGCTCCATGGGTACAATTGCAAAGTATTTTCATCTTTTCATGGGTGAATCCTCAGGTTATAACACAGTCTCTGACACATATTAAGTTATTAATACATGTTTTTAGGATTCAGGGAAACTAGATCCAATTTATGAAGTTGACATATTTCACTTTGAACAAAGCTGACTCAGCATGCCATGAGGGACAGAAAAGCGGTAGTGTCCAGCTGGTAATCCACCTGGCTACACAAAGACCCAGCTCAGAAAGGCAAACCATGACAACCGCACACAATTCTCTCTCTAAAGAGAACAAGCATTTTGTCTCTCTGCAGCAGGAAATATGGTCTCAAGTGGAATTCTTGGGAAGTAAGCAAAGTCGAACCTACCTCTAGGACTAGCAGGTGATGTGGATTCCAGAGGCCCCTTGACTGGTTCTATGGTGCCTTCATGTGCTGCTCCATTGGGTATCTTTGTGATGTGTTCCATCATGTCATCAGTTCCTGCAGGTGAGGATGGAGAAGAAAACTGGGGTAACTCATCTCATCTAGAAAAAGAGCACTGTCTAGATGGATCCAGTTAAGTGACCACACAACACTCTTCCTCTCAAGTCCATCTGCATGAACTTGAGCCAGGACTATGTGCCATAAGTGGCTATACCCATCCACAGATCCATCTACTTACCCGTATATGCATCTGTCCTCCCTTTCATTCATCTCTAGATTTGACCATCTATTCTTCCATCTTTTCTTCCTTTTATCCTTTCTCCCTACCATCCATACTTCCTTTCATCTTTCCTCCCTTCTTTCCTTCAATTTATGTTTCCCTGAATCCTCCCTTCCATCCATCCTTCCTTTTCATTCTTTCTTCTATACAGCAATCCTTCTAGTCATCTTTCTTTTCTTCCATTCATCCATCTCTTCATTCTTCCTTTCATCCTTCCATCTGCCTAGCTACACTTTTGCTTTGTTGCCATCTCACTCATCATTTGCTTATGGAACACCAATGACTCAACTTTTGAACTACATTTTAACACGGGAGTTAACATTCAGCAAATGCATCTAAACTTATTGTGAATTGTAAAACTAGCTGGGGCAGATGGATCAAATCATCCCACTGTAGATATCATCTAGGGAAGCAGGAGCTTCTTGAGTAGTTGGAGGACCTCTTAGGACTTGTGTCCAGAATAAAAGTTGGGGCCAAAGTCAACCCTTCAGAGGAGAGGAATGCTAAGAGGTTCCTTCTCTCATCTACTGATGTCTTGGAAGTAGTGTTTCTTCCTCCTGAGGCCTGGGTCCCTCTCACTTCCTCATAAACTTTGTTCCTTTAATTTTCATTCACTCACTTTTTTCTTTTACTTATCCTTTGCTTTGGCCTTTTGTTTTCAATATAGAAGTATACTCAATTCAAAGGGTGAAACACTCCCTCATCGATGCATTATATTAGCTGTTTTTATAGTGCCCTACACTTCACAGGTACTCCCATAGCTACAATTCCTGAAGACCCCTATGTTGCCAAAGCACTTCTCACCTCATTTTAACTTGGCTGTTCTGTAGTATTTGACAGAATTTACCTTTCTCCTTCCTGAAACTGTCCCCTTCTATGGCATCTGCGATGACAGAACCTCTTGTTTTTCTGCTACCTCTCTGACCACGCCTGCTTAGGCTTAGGAGCATGGATTCCTAATGACACATAGTTCTTATCCTGGTTCTGTAACTTACTAGCTTTATGACCTTAACAAAATTATTTATCTTCTCTATGTCTCAATTTCTTGAACTCCAAAATAGGCTTATAATAGTCTCTAAGTAGTGTACGAGGAGTATCAAAAACTTCAAAAAACTGCATTCGACACGTAATAAGTGTTGTATAAATATTTGCTGTTGTTAATATTATTATTGTAATCATCATCACTAGTAGTAATACTAGATTACCCATCATGATACTACTATGATTCAACTACGTGCTTATCTATTCTTGTTTCCCAGTAACTAGCACAGTGCCTGGCACTGAAGTGAGATCAAAAAATAATTGCTAAAACAATTAGTGGAAAAAGAATAAACTCCTAACTGACACCTTTTTTTACGTCTTAGAAAAGGGTAATTTCCTAAGAGATAACGAGAAAGGAATTATAGAGGTGGTGGGTCCTTACTTGTAAAATGTGTTGAAAGTAGAGGAACTTGAGAAGCACGTGTCAGTGTTACCAATGCAAAACTCTCTGTGGTCTCAAAATAGGGAGGCATTGCTGTGGAAATAGCAGTGTCTACCCTCAAGAAGTCATTACTGACTGGATATGAAGAGGTAGCCGGGAG